GCGGTAGTAACTACAAAGATGACAAACCCCTAGACTTCTTAAAGGACCCCGAATCACATCAGGATTTTGAGTATCCCAACCTCTTCAAGTTATGCCTTACCTCCTCTGCCTATACCATGATTTCTACATGTGCTACGGCCTCCACTCACCGATCATAATCCCTAATTATGTTATCCACCACCTTCACCAAAATTTTTGGCCTTAATCTCTTCTCGAATTCTAAACATCGACGCTCCTCTGTCGCCACAAGCTCAGGTGCAAAACAGGAAACATTGGTGAAAGTGGCTTCAAACTTAGACAATGATGTGTCAAACTGCAACAGCTCCTCAAACTACCTCCTCAACCGCTCCCTAGCAATGGGAGGGAGAAATTTCTCCTAGAAGGCGTGTGTAAATGCGTCCCAGGTATGCTCAATACAGTTCTTGACATATTTCCACCATTGTCCAGCCTCTCTTTTCAGTTGGTTGGCCGCTAATGCCACTCGAAGCTTGTTCTCACAGATGTCTAAGATCTCATAAGATTTGACTATCTATTCTAATCACTCATCTACTTTCATAGGGTCAGGCCAGCCACTTAACTTAGCAAGGTTGGAGCGAAAAAATTCATTCTTCAGGAATGTAGTTCTAGTTTCTCCTTCTACTGTCCTAGCCGCTTGTTTGGCTATTAATAGGTCCATGGACTCTCTAAGAGCCCCCTGCCATCTTTCAGGCCAAAGCCCTCATTGCATCCTGGACCAGTGGGGCAACCATGTTGTTTTGATCGACTTCTTTCTCTTGAGGAGGGATCTCTGTTTGGGCCGGAATATCCCGATCATCCCAACGAGGTCTATCACAGCCTCTGCCACATCCTAACATCTTATAAAAAAGAGAGAGAATTAAATTCATGACTCACATTTCCACACTTAGTCTTGCCCATCACACACACACTAGCATGATACCATACATACACGTAAGTCATATTAAGCAAGCCGCATAAGCACCTTGTTACATAAAGCACATACAAACCACTCCTCCAAGATATCGACCTGTCTCACGATGCTCAAAGACTTCTAAGTGGAAAAAACATTGATTAGGTGCCTTTCCAAAAGAACTTCAATGAGTGCAATAAATGCAAGTTGTATCCCAGAAGTTTGATCCCATACCCACATAATCACATAAACAAATAATCATGTTAAGCAATTAACATCCTTTCCTAGTATGGCAAACCCATTATGGTGCTAGCCATTTCCCACGAGCTCAAGGTATTTAAACCTGGTTAGCTCTAATACTAATTTGTAACGCCCCCAAATTATTAATAATAAAAATATTTCTCATAACTAATCAATTCTAAACCATTCTTCACCAATCAACAACATTAATCCAGCACCCTTTTTCTCATTGAACTATAATCTCAAAAGTACAAATTGCATGTTCAACTTTTAGTTATATCAACATTAGCACAGTTCAAGAAGTTAGAGGAAATGATACAAAAATGCCTATTGGCTTACAAATATCAAGGTCATGCCTTGTTACAACAAAATAGACTCGCAGTCCCAAAATACGTATGCTCAAAGCTTCCACAAAATAAATCCATGAGCTTTCTTGCCCTAACCAACACAAAAGAGTCCTGAAAAATGTTAGATAAGAATGAGCTAGATGCCCAGTAGAAAAACTTTTAACAAAGTATCTAGTTATTTGAAGATCCATATAGCATCATTACAACTAATCCATGGTTAATTCATTCATAATAATACTTTAAAAGAGAAAGCAAGAATCCACAGTTTCAACAAATTTAATTTATTCAACTTTGGGGGTAAATACGCCATAAAGTCCCTAAAAAGAGTCCTAGCACATACGTATACATAGGTTTACATCCAAAATATCCCCACATTTGCCGGCTATCCACTTTTACTGACTACAATACGGTAGGACCAGTGGACACTCAAAAACATTTCCCTGCATTCGTCTAGCAATAAGCTCAAGACATGGGCAATTGGGCACCTAGACTTCCCCATGCAGTACCAACCATACACAACACTTTCTCAAAAACCGACTCTCTACCAGGACGCACATGATATTTACGTTCCCCTTAATAATCTTTCCAAAGTTTTCGAGTATTCGTACATTCATTAGAATTAAAAGTAATCTTTCACTATCCAAGCAACTGTGACAATATCCAACATCTCAAGAACATACCAAATTCACAATTTTTCCATTCAAATACCACCTTAATATCATAAGCTAATCATCAATTTTAAGAATTAAGGGTCAATTTCATTTTTATTACATTATTTTTAAAACACCAAAATTAGGGTTTTTATAAGATTCGGGGCTTTTGCCCTTCCAACATACGTATTACTAATTTTCATCAAAAACTTTCATAATCTATGACTAAAAGTAAAAATCTTAAGAAAATTGTAAGGAAAATACTGGGCTTGTTTGGTTTGTTTTTGGGAGAGTTGTTTTTGAAAAAAAAATTTGGGGAGAGAGTTTAGAAATTTTTTTGGTTTGTTTGGTTGTATATTTTGGGAGAGTTGTTTTTTTGAGAGCTTGGGATGATTTGATATTTTGGGAGAATTTGAGTAGATGTGTGTGAGAGAAAAAGTGATTGAGAATGAGAGAGGAGAGAGAAAAAATGATTGATTGATGTGTAAGAGAGAGAGTGATTTTGGAAATTTTTTGAAAAAAACTCAAACCAAACAATTTTTTAGAAATTTTTTTCTAAAACTCATCTCCCAAATGCAAACCAAACATACCCACTATTTTTGTAAGAAAACTTCAATTTATAAACTCAAATATTTATCAATATCATGACAACACCACATAATCATCTTCAAATAAAAAAGATACAAGATTAAAAGTAGTCTTACCACAAGAATCAAGACAAAGAAGCTAGGTTTTTGAGGAACTCTTCGAAAAATCCAAATCCAAAATCTCCAAGTGAACTTCACTTTTTGTAAGAGCTTTTAGATTGAAACTTAGTGAAATGAGAGATTTGTAGATAGAAATAGCTAGGATTTTCAGAGCTTGAGAGCGAGGAAAGAAGAAAGAAAAGAAAAAGTGAAGAAAATGATCTAAAAATCACTTTTTAAATGGTTGATATTGCGCAAACTGCTTGAGCGGTCTTTTCACCGCTCGAGCGACGACATGATCGCTTGAGCGGTCCCTCAATCTGCAAAATGAACTACTATGAGTAGCTAATATCCGCTCGAGCAGTCACCTGAAATGAATTGTTACACACACACACACACACACACACACTCTCTCTCTCTCTCTCTTTTTTATAAGATTCGGGGCTTTTGCCCTTCCAACATACGTATTACTAATTTTCATCAAAAACTTTCATAATCTATGACTAAAAGTAAAAATCTTAAGAAAATTGTAAGGAAAATACCTATTTTTGTAAGAAAACTTCAATTTATAAACTCAAATATTTATCAATATCACGACAACACCACATAATCATCTTCAAAAAAAAAAGATACAAGATTAAAAGTAGTCTTACCACAAGAATCAAGACAAAGAAGCTAGGTTTTTGAGGAACTCTTCGAAAAATCCAAATCCAAAATCTCCAAGTGAACTTCACTTTTTGTAAGAGCTTTTAGATTGAAACTTAGTGAAATGAGAGATTTGTAGATAGAAATAGCTAGGATTTTCAGAGCTTGAGAGCGAGGAAAGAAGAAAGAAAAGAAAAAGTGAAGAAAATGATCTAAAAATCACTTTTTAAATGGTTGATATTGCGCAAACTGCTTGAGCGGTCTTTTCACCGCTCGAGCGGTGAATGAAACCTCTCAGTATCTTTGTCTGCAAAACGAGATATTGGGAACCCCCTCTTCTTCGCTCGAGCGACGACATGATCGCTTGAGCGGTCCCTCAATCTGCAAAATGAACTACTATGAGTAACTAATATCCGCTCGAGCAGTCACCTGAAATGAATTGTTACACACATACACACACACACACATACACACTCTCTCTCTCTCTTTCTCTCTGTACAACATTTCTCCAAGAGCCTCATGCTACTACCACCATCTCTATCATCGCCGACCACAACCATCGCTATGGTCACCATTGACCGAGCACCGCTACTATCATCTTCTATTTGCTACCATTGTTGTCCATTCCCTACCGCCATTGACTTGCACTCTACCATCACCAATCCACCACTACCGTTCACCAACCATATCCACATCATCGATTTACACTCTACCGCTGCCAATCTGCACTCTACATCTTCGATCTCCACTGTGCTGTCGTCGATCTACCCATCTAGTTTTAGATCTATACCAATCTAATTGCTTCAATGGTGAAATCGACTCCAATTGACTCCAAGTAACAGTGTTTTCCAAATCTTACCCATCTTCCATTTCTCTGTCTCTTTCTTTATTTTCCAAACCAAATCTGCTGCAAAATTATTTTTCAGTGATAAATTTATTAGTCTTCGATTATGTATGTACATATGATGAGAGTGTTTAAGTGTGAATATGAGTGAGTGAATTAACGTCTTCAAGTTTTTACAAATCACTCAGTAATAAATTTATCATTGAATGTATCTTTCATTCTATTATTGATCTTGTATTGATCTATGATGGTGAAGACTGATGTGAACTGTTTTCTGGTAAATACTTTATTTTTCCTCCTCGTCCCTCATTCTCTCTCTTGTTACTATTAAAATAAGGAAGTGGTGGCGGTAGTAATGTGGTGTAGATGAACATAATTTTTGTTAAAAAATAGTTGAAAAAATATCACCAAAAGTCACCGAAGATAAGATATAATTGTTGGTAGTTAGAGATAGCGGTCATAGGTGGCCGCTAGAGACCTAAGGTAGTTGTTGGAGGTGGCCGCCAGATATCAGAAGTTGTCGCTGATGATCGGAGGTAATTGTTGGGTGCAAGGCTATGACAATAGTATAATGGTTGATGTGTTGAATGAGATAAAAGTGGTCCTATTTTAGAACTCTAAAAGTGGCCCAATGAAGCCCATCATTCATAGAATCATAGCCCACTTGTCTCAAAATTGCATATATTTCACACTTGTGCCAAACAAAACGAAAAACCCTCAGTCTATGTTTCTCGTATCCAGCCAGTCAGGGGATCTAGCTGCCTATTGAAATGGAAGACATAGAGGATCTGCTGGTTGGGAGTGGCGGAGCTCCGGCTGGTTTCCGGTTGCCGATCACGGCCTCCGTCAGCGTCAATCCGAAGAAGAAGAATCAGCAGTCTGATCTCAACAATCACTCTTCAATCCAACCCTCACTCACTGCCTCTCACTCTCCGAAAATCCCCGGCACTCAGGTCCTCTCTCTCTCTCTCTCTATATATATATATATATATATATGTTCAGATTTTTTTGTATCCGAATTTTCATTGTGCGTTTTGAATATATCTATTATGCAGACGATTTATATGAAGACTTTTGGATGTTCACATAATCAAGTAAGTGTTCTGTTGTATTTATTGTCTCTCTTTCTTCGATTTGGAGATAATCATTCTCTTTATAACTGTATACAAGTGTTTAAATAATAAATGTATGGAGATATAACCAATTGCTAAATTGCTTGGTTAGGAAGACCTAGGTGTCATGGACCGTCGTTTTTCATCTATTTGATTGGTAAGATTTCTATAGTAACGGCACATAATGGTCAACTGTGCCTGGGAGATTTAAATTAAAAAAAAAAAGAAAAAAAAGAACAACTTTCGTTAACTAGTGCCGTGGGTGCAAACGCAATGCGTTGTAATTTTATATTTAAATTTATGGATAGTTTGATGATTGAGAGTAGTTTTGAACAGTTGGATGTTGGAGAAAAATCGTTATAACAGTTATTCACTAGGTGGAAAGGCATTCTTGGAAAGTAATAAATGTGAATGCATTCACACTAATACGCTTTGTATAATAGAATAAATAGAATAGAGCCCATTTGGTATTCTCTGATGTGAAAAAGCTCTTAGAATGCATATACACTCCTGTTACTCTCTGGATCGAATCTCAAAGAGAGGATTACATTCTTGTGTGAGTGAGAATGAGCTTCGGGAATTTCTTGCACCTTTTGGTTAGAGAGTTTACTTCATTTGGAGCATTGGAGTTCTCATTGTAAAGGTATATCTCCTCATCCTAGTGTTATACTTTGTAGTATACACTGTTACCATCACACACCTACACTTTTTGTCCGTCACTCATAGAAACACTTGGGTTGTGTTTAGTTGGAGGATTTGATGTGGGAAATGAAAAGAGAAAGAGAAATAGAAAGAAAAGGAGAAAGGATTTATAGGATTCGAATTTCAAGTTATGTTGAGTTGAGTTGAGTTGGGAAATGGAGAAAGAAAAGAGCCTAAGTGAACCCAACAGACAAGAAGTGGAATTGCATTTCCCTCCCACTTTCTTTTCCCATGTGTTTTCCATTATAACCAAACAAAAAGCGGGATTGCATTTTCATTTCCCTTTTCATTTCTCTCATCAAATCCTTCAACCAAACACAGTCTTAGGAGCTCTAGGAGAGCTACCTTGTTGAAGTATTTTTAGGATTGTGTTTTGGTGTTTCTAGGTTTTGGGTGGAGCCAAGAAAACACTCAAGTTTGTATTTGTTATTTGATGTAAAGGTTGGAGGTGATCCTAGGGAAAACCACTTGGAGTTGTAAAGGTTTTGGGTTAACTTAGGAAACCTATTTAGATTAGTGGAGTTAACATCAACAAGAGGATGTTCCAAACCTCTAAAAATCTTGGTTTTCATCATTTTCACATTACTTGCACTCTAACCTATTTATTTCAAATGTATGTGATGAATACATGTTAAATTGATGAACCTTGTCATAATTGTTTAACTAACATTACGAAGAATTATTGATCACATCATTGTTTAATGTTAAGATAATATTCAAATTCGGTCAGTTAGAAAAATTTGTATAAAAGCGATAGCATCAATTGGTTAATGAATGGACCTAAATATTGGGATCATTGGAAATATATATATATATATATTTATATTTTGATCAACAACAAAAGTTTTATTGATAAATCAAAAAAAAAAAAATGAGGATGAGGCATCCTCTACAAATAAGGAAACAAAGGAAAAAAAACGTAACCCAAACTCAAACAATGACTACATCAACAAAAAAAATCTACATGTCACACACCGACAATCAATCTCTAGCTATCAAAAATAGCAAAATCCCCCTAAAAGAGGATTCACCGAAGCCCAAAATGAAGTTAAGTGACAAACTTTATCTCACAAAAAATCCACCTCCCGAGGTTTATCTTCGAAAGCCCAGACATTCATTTCCAACCATAAGACCCAAAAAGTTGCAAAGACGGCACAATATCAAAGCACTTCGGCCCTCTTTGAGCATTGGAAATATATTGATTTATATTAATTTGTAAGAAGGGATATTTTGAACACATTGACCAAATCAACCAAAAGACTTGAGTTGGAGAACTCGGACTTGACTTAGATGGACTTATTCACGTCCACTCTAGGACAATTTCACAATATATATACAAACACACACACACACACACGCATTTATTATTTTGGGAGTTTAAATTCTACCCTTTGGCATGAGTGATTACACCCTATTGGGTAGTGGCAATCAAGTTGCAATCTTCTGGGAGTTGCCTGTTTTTCTACCTTTACTTTTGTTTGAGATGCAGGGTTATCATTTTAAAACAATCATGCATTCAACGATTCATAACAATTGTAATATTTTGAGAGTGAACTCATTTTATTATTTTAGATTTTTTTCCTCATCGTTTGTTCTTGTGTCAGAGTGATAGTGAATATATGGCGGGTCAGCTTTCTGCATTTGGTTACGTACTGGGTGACAATCCCGAGGAGGCAGACCTGTGGCTGATAAATACGTGAGGATCCAATTTATTCCTTTTTTGTTTTCCTCTTTGTTGAAAAGTGTTTGGCTAAGCTTCTGATTGGTTAGCTAATGGTATAGGTATGTCATGTACAGAAAACACATATGTCCCATGTTTCCTGATTCTGATTCTGATTCTGATTCTCGTTAACACAAAATACATACTGCATTTAATGTATGATCTTTTATGTAAAATAACACGGTTGCAAGTGTCTTCTGTCCTTTCCCCATGAATTTATAAGCATCACCAATTTAACCATGTGCTAAAAGTTACTTACAAACTGATCTGGTCACTCTTCTTAGCTTGCACTCTATAGAGATTCAGATGAGCTAAAGTTTTCTTGGGTTCTAAAGCAATGGTCTTCAACTTGGTATTTTCCATGTATTGATTCCTATTAGATGATGCAGATGCACGGTAAAGTCCCCAAGTCAGTCTGCCATGGAAACTCTGATATCGAAATGTAGAAGCGCAAAAAAGCCTTTGGTGGTGGCAGGATGTGTGCCTCAAGGAAGTCGCAATTTGAAAGAGCTAGAAGGGGTCAGCATAGTTGGCGTCCAGCAAATTGACCGTGTGGTTGAAGTTGTAGAAGAGACTTTGAAAGGTCATGAGGTGCGGCTTTTGAACCGCAAGACATTACCCGCACTTGATCTCCCAAAGGTACAAATCTTAGATATTTTTCACAGTATCCCTGTGCTCAGACTGGCCCCTTTTTTAAAATACATTATGCTGTATTCTTGGTAATATTTGCTTGAGTTGGCAACTGATTTGAAGGTGGAATTGTTATTTATTCTCTTCTTAATTTGTGTTTAACTTATGTACTCCCACAGGTGAGAAAGAACAAGTTTATTGAGATTCTTCCCATTAATGTTGGTTGTTTAGGTGCTTGCACTTACTGCAAGACAAAGCATGCTCGTGGTCATTTAGGGAGCTATACTGTTGACAGCCTTGTAAGTGCCATTTCATGGATTCATAATATTAATTTGAATTTGATAGCCATGTCATTAAAGCTTAACACTTCAGGTAGAGCGTGTCAGAACTGTCATAACTGATGGAGTGAAGGAGATTTGGTTGAGCAGCGAAGACACTGGAGCATATGGTAATTTTTGGTGATTTTTTTTCCCTGCCTTCATAAACGTGCTTCTGATTCTCATGTACATTTTGAAGGGGAAAAGTGCTAGATTTCTGGTTCTCACGTCTTATGAACTGAGTTCTGGCAATTCTGCTGAAAAAAATAACACGAAAAAGAAAGAAGTGAGGATTGAAACAACAACAATCAAGTAACCAACATCCTGACTCAGAAAAATAATAAGGAAAAACAGCGATTTTCAATAAGGATTGGTGATAATTTTGGCTTTGGAAAACTTGCAGGTCGTGACATTGGTGTTAATCTTCCAATTCTATTGAAGGCTATTGTTGCAGAGCTTCCCTCAGATGGAAGCACAATGCTTCGTATTGGGATGACTAATCCTCCTTATATTCTTGAGCACTTAAAAGACATAGCAGATGTTCTGTGTCACCCGTGCGTGTACTCATTTCTTCATGTACCTGTTCAGTCTGGGAGTGACGCTGTCTTGGCTGTAAAATCTCTTTCTGAAGCTGATTTAACACCCTCTCTCTGTCTCTCTCTCCTTTTGATTCTGTTTTTCAATAGTGATTTATTTTCAATGATGATTGGTTTGTTCAGGCAATGAATCGGGAGTACACTGTAGGCGAGTTCAGGACGGTAGTAGATACATTGACTGAACTTGTGCCCGGGATGCAGATTGCGACTGATATAATTTGTGGCTTCCCTGGTTAGTTGCAAGTTTGCCTACCATCTTGTAGTCCTCTTCATCTCTTATTGTTGCTTCTGCACATGTTTTTTTTTTTTTTTTTTTGAAATTTTTTCTTCATGTTCCTCTTGGAAATGTTGGTCTTGGTCTACTTCTGCAAGTGACAACTAAATCTTTGCTAGTTGCAACTGTCCTTGTGATGGTAAATTGCTTTTGTGATCTGTGTTCATTCATTCTTCTGGATAATAACAAATTCTCGGAAGTGAATTGTTCTTTGTTAGGTATATTCTAAATTCTTGAGTTAATCACATAATATAACCAAAAAAGTTACAAACAAATGGAACTACTTTCCTCAAGTGAGAAAAGTTATTTGAATGTTGTTTGCATTGCGAAAATTTTATGTGGTTAAGGATTTTCAACGTCATTAGCAAAACGAGTGGATTTTTCTAGTAAATATTATTTATGGAGTAGATTGTTTATCAGTAAAAATCTTGCGTAGTTGGTTGTTTATTTGTGAGTTGAAAGTTAATTATACAATATTCATTTATTGGCGTCTCAGGTGAAACGGATGAAGATTTTGGTCAAACAGTGAGCCTTATTGATGAGTACAAGCTTCCTCAAGTTCATATATCACAGTTCTATCCTCGTCCTGGTATGTTGCTGTTGAATTCTTCAACCATTTTTTATACCTGTCAGGACACATTCAATTTAACTAACCATGATTATTGATGTCATACCTTTCTAATAACCTTCTAGCTTGTTAGCATGTTAACATATTATCCTGGAAAGCTTGATATCTAAGGCGTAGACCATGCCCTTGATAAAAGATCTATTAAAAATGAAGTAGAAGTAATGATATAATTATAGAACTATCCTCAACGAAACCTTAATTGGGAGTTGTTAAATTAATCTTATTTTGAATTTAGCTCTATCTAGAGTGTATTCTCCATTATATCATGGACTTTCCTGCTGCCGTACTGTGCTCATTTTAGCATCTCTCATCTTTGTGGCACTCTGTACTGGAATCAAGATATTCTTTCTACTAAATTTGATTGCTCTTTATTGTAGAAGATTAAACCATATTAGATCCACCCTCATTGTTATTGATGTCCTGTCTCCAATTTCTCTTGTAAACATTTGTTTCTCGTATTATAGTTTTTGGTGTTACTCCTGTTCTGAGCGTCATAATCTTTACTGAACTCATCTACAAGTCTTGATTGAGTAGGCCACTTGAATCTTTTTTCTCAAGTCCTCTCTATTGATAGCTTTATCAATGATTAAATTCAAAGCAAGTATGTACTTTCTCACCAATCCAATCCAGTTTGTTCGCAGCATTCATCGTCCTTTAGGCACCTTTGGCCCAGATCAAAATCACTTGGTAATTAGCACATTTTTATCATGTTTGATTGGAAGGATTAAAGCATGGGATTAGGATTATTAATCCGTGGGCCCAATCATCCTATGTTTGTTTTGACATTTTAGTTTAGGACTATTAATCCAATGGATAATTAATCCAACAAATTTGTAGGATTATTAGTAATGGGGTAGGGGTGGGATAGTTAATACCACACTAATTTGATAGGATTATTAATACCTCACTATTAGTATTGTGAATCAAACATGACCTTTGTGTGTGTGTGTTGTTCCATTCAAAAATGGCATTAAAGGAATGCCTCCAAAATATAAAACAGAAAAATACAAAAAAATTCCGCTATGCACCTTCTTGTGTATCAAAAGGATCCACAAATTAAAAAAATTGGTCATGAAGGGTTACCAACACCCAATTCCAAATTATACAAAAAAAACTTGAGAATTGTACTTTTGAGCCTATATAGAGAGACTATTGTACTCTACTAATAAATGATATGATTCCTCTTCTCGTAGATAATTCAGATAATACTTAGGTGAGTCAAACACCACACCATCTCTGTCCTCTTTCCTACCTTAGCCTCTCGCCAACTGTGCAAGAGCTTGTCAACTCCCAATGGCAAAGTGCACTCTGCTTGAAACTAAAGAAACCACCATCCAAAGTTCTTGAGCAACTAAACAATGGATCAAAAGATGTTTCATTGACTCCCCATCTCGCTTACACATCCATCACCAATTCACCATAATTTGTCTTCTTCAAATCAAGTTATCTAGATTGAGAGAGGATCCTGTCTTGAGCAACACACCAAACATAAAAGATGGGAGCCCTTGGACTCCATATGACTTTCCATGACAGTGATGAATTACATCTACAATCAACGCCTGATTAAAGGATTTAACCTGAAAGTACCCCAATCTATACTAGAATGATCCCACCTCAATTAATCTTTCCCTCCCTGTCCCAGTGCTTACATCCCATATAATCTTTGCATCAACAACCCCATCACATCAACTATCTTCCAATCTTTCACCCTCCCTATGAAAACAATGCCCCAAAAAACTTGATTCAAATGCTTGTGATATTGCTTTGCTTATAATAATATTGAAATTATTTGGTCCACTATATAATGTTTTCATTCAAAATATGTTTCATGACTTATTTATGAAACCAGGAACCCCCGCTGCAAGGATGAAAAAGGTTCCGAGTACTGTAGTGAAGAAACGGAGTCGTGAATTGACTAATGTTTTCGAGTCACTTACACCATACAATGGCATGGAAGGCAAAGTAGAGAGAATATGGATCACTGAAATTGCCACTGATGGAATCCACTTGGTAAGGCTATCTGAGACTCGGTGGTATGAAATTTTGGATTTTTCCTCATCTTTTATAGCAGCTTGTCAGTCTAAACCCCTATTTCATGGAAGTTGAGGTGATCTTTGGAAGGAATTTTTTGGAACTTGCCTCATATCAAGCATAACTTCAATTGTAATATAGGTAGATCTGAGAATTTTGATCTTATGGATCTCATATTGTGGCGAAAGATGTTAAAATGCAACATGGACATTTTTAAGTGAATCTTGTTACAAGTATAGACTTGGCGCAAAAGGGTGGTGCAAATGGGTTGTACTCCGTCCGTCCCAATTTGTTGTTCTCTTTTGGGGATGCCAACTTTTTAAGGGGCATGCAATCATTACACTTAAATTTAAATTTCAAAATATTTTTCCACTAATGCCCCTATCTTTTCCAAATTTTAATATATTTATAATTACTCAAAAGGGGTAGTTTTGGAAAATCAAATGTTTTTTACTTTGACTTTTCAAATGGGACTATTATTTTGGGACATCCCAAAATAGAATAGTGGACCAACAAAATGGGACAGAAGGAGTAATAACTTGACAGATATTCTTTCTGTGCAACATACTATTCATACCGGAAATTGGTAAGAAACATAATGAAAAATGTTTCTCAAACAGTAGGTCAGTCTGGTCAAGCAACATTCAGGTACACAACCTAATTCACTTTTCGTATAGTTTCCTGTAAATGAATATGTTTTCTTATTTGTGTGATTCTGGTGTTCATTGATCCAGGTGGGTCACACCAAAGGATATGTGCAGGTGCTGGTAATTGGTCCAGAAACCATACTGGGGACTTCAGCCATTGTGAAGATAACATCAGTTGGAAGGTGGTCAGTGTTTGGGGAAGTGATCGAGACTCTCAACCAAATAAATGGAAATATCGCTTCAAGTGAGCGAAAGTCTAATGGCAACAAATGTACTCCATGCTCGAACCTGGAAGAAGCTTGTGCATGTTCGAGAGAGCCAGAACCTTGTGCTTGTGAAATGACAAGTTGTGGGGTACAAAACGCATTGGAGGAAAGTACCATTTCGCTTCCAAAGAATGAAAATCGCAGCCTCATTAGATGGTTACTAAGGAAACGGAAGAATCAATCACAAAAGAGGATGGAGAATGGGATTGTCTCGGAAATTAAAGAAAATCAAGAATGGAGTAGAGGAAGGATGCGAGAGTGGACTCTTGTCGATAGGGCTCTTGTCGGTGGAATGGTTGTAAGCTTGTTGACAGTTGCAGTTCTATTATCATTTTTTGTATCTGGTAGTATGATGGCTAACTGAGTATTGCCTGAATTCTACATTGCACAAGTGAGAGATTATCAAAGAAAGGCTGCCATGTATGCATATTCATATGAGAGATTTTGGGATTCATTGCCTGCCAACTTGTAGCTCGTGGCGGATTCATTGTTCTAGGATTTTTTCCCAATTAATTTCTCAACCCTAATATTTATTGTTAATCGAATTCTTCTTTTTCATTCTAATTATTGTTTCAATATTCATCAACCATTTTCATCAAATTAATTTAAGATTATAAAATATAGAAGGTAACTGTTTACTCCTCAACTATCAATACATAAAAGATTGGGACAACAAATCAATATAGCAGAAACATCAAAATATTCTTACTCTAAAAAATTTGGGATCCACATTAGTTTTAGATGAATCAGGTAAATTTTTGTGTTCTATGTGTGCTTGTTTTCATTTCTTATTCCTGTTTATATTTGTGTTTGTCTCACTGATTCTAATTAAGTATATCAATTACTAACACGTTGATATTCTCTCTATGTAACACAGGTGATTAAAATACCACAACTCACTTAATTGCTTTTATGCTAAAACCCTGGGTTTGTGCATAATAAGGGTAGATAAGAGTGAGGTTATGTGGGACGTCACCTAAGTTGATAAAAGACTGTAGTTGCAATGATTGCGCATAGGTTTGTTCCCTTGTAAAATGTTGACAGATGTGCTTAGCTTCATCCCGTATCAAGCACCTCATTTGGTATCAAAGCCCCGTTTATACATAAACGTAATACATATATATGATATTTAAATTATTTATATATGGTCACATACAACTAATGGCAGAAGAAGCAACCATCACAACAGTAGCTAATACAGTAGATTCGACATCAGAAGCAGCGGAACTAGTTGCCGATCAGGATGTGAGGGAAGCCCTTGATAAATGGACAATCCCAAAAGTAAAACTAGAAACAATATATAAAATTGGAACCTTTGATTTTTCCAGTAGAAAAATTATTAAAAATTTTGAACATGAAGTTCCTTTACAGAATGATGATGAAGTAATTCAGCTACTTCAAATACAGGATTTGGTACCTTTCCTGAAAAAATATAAATATGTCCACATAGGACTTGTTCAGATAGCTTTTAAACCCTTGACTTTGTTAGGACAAAATACCAGTCTTACATGTACACTCAGAGATGGTAGATGTCTTGATTGGAAAGCCTCTTTGATGGGAGCCATTGAAACCAGTTTATCTCATGGACCAGTATATTTTAATATATACCCGAATTTGAGCATAGCAGTTATAGACCCTAACCTATCTAAAGTACTTGAACTTAGAATTTTAACAAATGGTTACCAGTGTTTACCAGGATCACCACCGTTATCCGCCATTTTCAGAATTTATCTTAAGGTTTTAAGTACCTTAAACCCTTATATCAGAAAACATAGTGAATTAGGACAAACTGTCTTAATTGATACTAACATTTTCAGTAGCCAAGTAGCTGTTCCTAAAATGATTCCGTGGAACAATATTACATTTCCAGAACGATGGCAAATCAAGAATGATGTACCAGTCAGGCCCATCATCAAACAAACTTTAGATGATGTTATTCAAACACAAGGAGGTAATGTTTATCTTAAATTTCAAAGACATCTTAGCCGAAGTTTGTCCAGTATGAGTCATCACTCCTCTAATTTGCCTTATAGAGTTGAATTACCTGAATCCTCTAGACATTCTATGTCTGAACCCATAGAATCTATAAACCAAGGAATGCCTTCTAGGCCTCCTAGTCAACCTTCTTCTGACCCTCTACCTGAAACCCTAATTCAGGGTATTCACATATCAGAAAACCAAATTCCTCATGGAGTTTATGAAACCAGAAGGCCTGAAAGCCCAACTGCAAGGGATATGAATTTTGAACTCTAATGGATTTTACATCAGGCAGTGAAATAAGAAAACAATTAAACCAAGATTTTATGCAAGAAAAATATCAGGAATTCAGATCATGGTATTTTAATAACCATACTCCATAAGAACATCAATAGTTAAAGAATCAGTATTATTATCATTTAGAAAAATACCAAATTCTTAGATCTTTTCCAGAATGGTATTATGAATTTAGTACGGTTATGCAGTCTATTCCAACATCTCAGATTAATGTCTTGGAAAATATACAGCGAACATGGCAAACAGTAGGTGGTCAAAAAATAGTTTATGTTCATCCACCACCACAGTCTTTAGAGTTAGCCCCTAGTGATGTCTCTCATCAACCGTTAGTCATCACAGTATATGTGGAAACTCCCTCCAGAGTGGCTCAGAAAGAGTCTTTACAGATTAAAGATATTGTGCCATTAATAAAACAGAATAATTATACTAATTTATGTTTTCAAACAGTTGGAAAGCAATTGACTAGAATAGAAGAAACTATAGAAACTTTTAAAGATCGTCAATTGACCTAAACACCAGTCTCTTCTCTTCAACCAGTTAATATCAAACCACCTTTAGAAGTAACTAATTTTAGGTTACGTTCTAATCAAAAGGATAATGAATTTATAAAGACCTTTTTGAAAAAAATGAATGAACTGAACTTAGGGAAATCTGCACCAGGAAGTAGTTCTATTAATATGCTATCTACCCAAACCACTCCAGGACTACAACAGGAGGATGATGAAGGAGTTACACCTTCATTAATTTATGAACTCCGAATAATTTTCAGGATATGCAATCTATTAACAGAACCGTCTTCCTAAACAAACCGGCAGAACAACCATACAAGGCACCGTAACACTATGTGTTTGTGTGCAATAGTAAGACACAAACACACTTGTACACACGCAAAGGCAAAATGAGAGAGAGGTATAGAGATAGAATATATATCAATCCTAACCCTAGAACTCAAACCCTAAAATGGCTGTCTAAAATGTCTAACCCTAAAGCCAAGAGAGGAGGGCTCCTTTTATAGAGCTTTTTGCCTTGTAAAGCTTACAAGACAAGCTTGTAAAGAGAGAGATCCCTCCATACACGTGTATGGAGGGGAGCCAAATGCAATACAGCTGTATTAAAATATCTGCAAAAGCAGATGAATGGTAGTCGGCTGCTCAAAATTGCCATTTTGACAAAATGGACTGCCGACCGGCAATATATATTGCCGATGGCAACAAAACACCAGCCGGTGGCCTCTGGCCATGGCTGGTGATGTGTGGGGATGCCTCACAAGGCATTCCCTGCCCCTCCAAGGCAAAACACAAGTGTTTGGTGCAAAACCAGACACTAAACAGTCGAGTTCGGAGATCCTGAGGCAAGGCGCGTAGCTGAGACCTCCGGGAACTCCAAACGAACACAAACATGGATGATCACCGGGTGTTCAAATGGTGACGTCCAAGTCTTGAGGACGGTCAAAAATGGGGTGTCTACCGCTACCTTTCCTGAAAAAATATAAATATGTCCACATAGGACTTGTTCAGATAGCTTTTAAACCCTTGACTTTGTTAGGACAAAATACCAGTCTTACATGTACACTCAGAGATGGTAGATGTCTTGACTGGAAAGCCTCTTTGATGGGAGCCATTGAAACCAGTTTATCTCATGGACCAGTATATTTTAATATATACCCGAATTTGAGCGTAGCAGTTATAGACCCTTACCTATCTAAAGTACTTGAACTTAGAATTTTAACAAATGGTTACTAGTATTTACCAGGATCACCACCGTTATCCGCCATTTTCAGAATTTATCTTAAGGTTTTAAGTACCTTAAACCCTTATATCAGAAAACATAGTAAATTAGGACAAACTGTCTTAATTGATACTAACATTTTCAGTAGCCAAGTAGCTGTTCCTAAAATGATTCCATGGAACAATTTTACATTTCCAAAACGATGGCAAATCAAGAATGATGTACCAGTCAGGCCCATCATCAAACAAACTTTAGATGATGTTATTCAAACACAAGGAGGTAATGTTTTTCTTAAATTTCAAAGACCTCTTAGCCGAAGTTTGTCCAGTATGAGTCATCACTCCTCTAATTTGCCTTATAGAGTCGAATTACCTAAATCCTCTAGACATTCTATGTCTGAACCCATAGAATCTGTAAACCAAGGAATGCCTTCTAGGCCTCCTAGTCAACCTTCTTCTGACCCTCTGCCTGAAACCCTAATTCAGGGTATTCACATATCAGAAAACCAAATTCCTCATGGAGTTTATGAAACCAGAGGGCCTGAAAGCCCAATTGCAAGGGATATGAATTTTGAACTTTAATGGATTTTACATCAGACAGTGAAATAAGAAAACAATTAAACCAAGATTTTATGCAAGAAAAATATTAGGAATTCAGATCATGGTATTTTAATAACCATACTCCAGAAGAACATCAATAGTTAAAGAATCAGTATTATTATCATTTAGAAAAATACCAAATTCTTAGATCTTTTCCAGAATGGTATTATGAATTTAGTACGGTTATGCAGTCTATTCCAACATCTCAGATTAATGTCTTGGAAAATATACAGCGAACATGGCAAACAGTAGGTGGTCAAAAAATAGTTTATGTTCATCCACCACCACAGTCTTTAGAGTTAGCCTCTAGTGATGTCTCTCATCAACCGTTAGTCATCACAGCATATGTGGAAACTCCCTCCAGAGTGGCTCAGAAAGAGTCTTTACAGATTAAAGATATTGTGCCATTAATAAAACAGAATAATTATACTAATTTATGTTTTCAAACAGTTGGAAAGCAATTGACTAGAATAGAAGAAACTATAGAAACTTTTAAAGATCGTCAATTGACCTAAACACCAGTCTCTTCTCTTCAACCAGTTAATATCAAACCACCTTTAGAAGTAACTAATTTTAGGCTACGTTCTAATCAAATGGATAATGAATTTATAAAGACCCTTTTGAAAAAAATGAATGAACTGAACTTAGGGAAATCTGCACTAGGAAGTAGTTCTATTAATATGCTATCTACCCAAACCACTCCAGGACTACAACAGGAGGATGATGGAGGAGTTACACCTTCATTAATTTATGAACTCCTGAATAATTTTCAGGATATGCAATCTATTAACAGAACCGTCTTCCTAAACAAACCGGCAGAACAACCATACAAGGCACCAGTAGGTATTATTATCATAGACCTACACCACAAGATATCCTTTATGAGGAAGATTTCTTTCATGGCCAGAACTCTTACCATGGAAAAACCATTTATGAATGGAATATAGATGGTTATTCTG